ATTTTTACTGTAAACATGATTTCATTCATTCGTTTCGAAAGCCTCCTATTTTATGACCACAGGGTAACTACTTCAGCCTCAGGAAGCCTTAACGGAGGAGCTTCAATGAAGAAGGTTACTAGAGTTCTGAATTTAGTAATAAATTCCACTAATTTTCAGGTTAAAGGATGGTAAGGAGGTGGAACTCATTGCTCGCATCCGAGTAGCCAGCGGTCCAGCTGGCAATGAACAGATCGCTTGCCAATTGGTAATTGACGACTGCACGAAGAGTGACGAGGGTGTATACACATGTGTGGTGACGTCCCCACTTGGCTCGGACAAGTGCTCTGCGAGGTTGGAATGTATAGGTGAGATAAAACGATCTCACCGTCTCGTGAATCTCAGCTGACGAGGGTTTCTAGACTCTGCCGAAAAACCTCACTTCGACAAAAATTTGCAAGCCGTTTCTGTGAAAGAAGGAACCGACATTACCTTGCAGTGCTCGGTTAGCAGCCAGGAGAAGATTACGGTCGAATGGCGCAAGGACGGGAGGAAATTGCCACCTGATTTGCGCATCAAAAGCACCTCCAAAGAGAGTGGCTTGCAGCAGCTGCTCATAAAGAACAGCCGCCTCAGCGACAGCGGGTCGTACGAAATCGTCGTCGGCAGTCCAACGGATACAATTCGGCAAAAGGCGACCGTCACAGTGCAGAGTAAGTGGGCCTTGCCTCTGTTTACTCGTTTTTAAGGTGAGACCCGTCCTCTTTCCTCCACATGAGATGAAAATATATATCGAGCGCTTCCTGCTTCTGTTCGTTGTTACTGTTAAAGGAGAGAGCAGGACAAACAGTTGCAGTGAAAATTGTTCGTCCTCAGTTTATCCTTCCATGTTCTCTAGAGTTTCAGAGATAGCAGAATCAAAAGGTTTTTCTGTTGCCTCAGCATTCTGCTAATCGAGTAAGTTTCCAAGGCTCGATTCCAAGGGGCGACGACTTCAGATATTCAATGCCTCTTCGATCCCTACACGTAGATTTCGAATGGTAACAAGCCTACAATTTTTCTGGCGTCATTTTGAGTTATTTGCATTGATAACGAAATGCTTTGACTGAAATAGTAAGCTGCTGCATTGGGTTCCACAAATTATAAATCAGCAAAATATGTATCGTAGTCATTCAGCACTCATCATGCCTGTTGCTTAATGAACGTTCACGGTATGCAAAGATTCATTTCGACTGGCCTGTAGATAAGGTATCTATGTTTTAAGTAGGTTCATATCTGAGGTACTTCAGAATATTCGCCATTTACTGCTTCGTTCTTTTTCATTAATCAATCGCATCAAGATATATTAAGGCTATTGAACGCACCGCATCCCAAGATGAAACATTTCCTTGATGTGCTGGTAGTCATACTGAAAAACAACATGGAAGACAGAATATTTATACACAATGCTAACATGTGATTAATCCAACCAACGATTGATGACTGACAACGTTTTGGACGGCGTCTCAGCCCTTTTCGTGATAGGGAGTTTGGCCGACTGATATTTGAAGAGTTTTTGCTGTAGCGTTGGGCTAAAAGGACAGCTTGATGACATAGTCTCTTGTTAGTAAGTTTCTTAAGGACAGGGCGACAAGGCTCACCGAATCCCCGCAGAGATTGTGTCTTTGACGCAGTTGACGCTGTCACAGGATTGGACAATGAATACCTTCTTGATGGCCTGTTCAGCAAGCGTATTTCTCTGCTTATACCAGTACACTCTGGCCATCAGGGGCAGAATCTTGCTGCGATGCGTGCTACACAATCACTGAGGTCTTTTACTATTGTTTGTTCACTTTGCTGGGCGACGAAGATTTGCTATCTACCCGGGAACTTCGTTACTAGGTGTCGTTGACTATCAATCTCCTAGTCGACAGGTGCTAATTTGTTCTGGAGCTCCTTCTTTCTCAAATGCAATGTTTCAAACAGTTGCATGGTAATTTCTAAGTCTATTCTAAAGAGCTCTTATTCTCAGAACTGCTTAATAGCACATTAAGTTTATTGTAGCTTTTATGCATTGCATTAATATTGTATTTAGTGCTAAGCAATCCTTATAAATTTTCCCTAAAATTTTTATGATAAATCAGGCTTTTCCATTTCGTATCTGTCATACAAACGATATTTCCCGGCAGTCAGGGGCTGAGCGTTATAGCTGGCTGCGGCCGCTGCAATGGATATGAAATATTCGTGATGGTTCGCACCGTTCTGCATGCATCCAGAACAAAATTCTGTCTGTAGGTGGCCTAAACTCATCCTCAATTATTTTGGAATGGGAACATTTGCGGCGATGACACTGGTGTTGTTCACGAAACTTTAACCAATTTTTCTGCTCAAATCGATAGCCAGATTTTGTTGCTTTATTTTCTCTAAACATGATTTGCACCCGTATTCGTCGAATTGAGCAACAGCATCAATCATTTCAGCTGTCTTTTCCTTGCGATCCAGAAGGAAAATGACTGGACGATTATGATAAAAAGCATAATTGATGGCAACAGCACTATCGAAATAGATGGTACATTAGTCACTCATATATACGATCTTCATATCGCATCAATAGTAGGCGTTGTTGCTGAGAAAAGGCCGTTTTCAAGTGTATGATCTTCTGGATGCTATTTTGCCACTTCAGGTAATCGCTGTTAACTTAAAACGAACAACCAGCTTCAATATACTGAATGAATTCCGTTGTACTGCCGCACCTCCTGCGTTTATATGAAAGGCTTTCCTTCATGGTGTATTTCTTATAGTTCGTTATAATTACCGTTTCATCTAACATTATTACTGTAAGTCCCTTGTTTCCCTGAACGATCCTCCATACATTCAAAAAACTAATTAAGCGACATTTTCAACTCGATTTCTTCTGACGTAAAAGCAGCACTGTAACTTCCATTAAGAGTTCTCTTGCTCCATTCATCAAGCACTGAATGATATCTAGACAATATATTTCTCTTAAGCGGCGAA